AAGCAAATGTTGATGATGACATGGAGGATGATGATGATGACCCAGACAAGTATTTCAATACCGCCTATGATGATGGAGGATTGATGGCTCAGGAAGGCGAAGACTCAGGCTATGAGCGTGGAGATGGTGACTTGATGCTACCTGATTTGCCGGAGCCGGAACGTTCTAAGGCGGAATGCAAAAAGTCTTTCTTCAAGCGATCCTCACAGGAGACGCCTCCAGATGCTGCCTGTACCCAGCAACCCCCCGAGGCCCATCCACTGATTAGCCCGACGACACTGGGGGTGGTGGTTAGGGAAGGTATGGTGGGCTCACTACCGCCACCCACCAAGAAGCAAAGGAGGAGACCGGACAAGAAAGACCCTAAAGGAGCCAGAGCTGCTTCAAGCAGCCAGCCGCCTCTGGAGCCCCGGGTGGTAGACAAAATACCTGTCGAAGGTGCGCAACGCTTCCATGTCGCCGGCCGGCCGATCCTACCTGCGAAAGCACTAGAGCACATAGTGAAAAATGATCTAAGGAGACTCCATGAAGATGTGCTGGCCAGAGAGAAAAGCCTTCTAGTCGCGGAAAAACCAGGATACCCGCTTTACGCGGATCGGGGTATCGGGTGGGAGGTTGTACGTCGAGAGATGGCCCACGAATAAGTTCATCTTGCAATTTGACTACATCTACGACATGTTCCACATGACCAAGCTGGATTTCCAGTTCATCCGCATGTATGCGCTGTATCTGAACCACTTCATCAAGGTCGAGAACATCAAATATATCTGCATCGCGGATGCGTTCTATATGCACGAGAGCTTCTTGGCAGTTTGCAAAGAGCACCGTGACTATGCGAGCAAGTACCTCGGCGAATTCATGATCGCTAATAAGGACAAGGAAGTGATTCTCTTGCCTTATCATCCTACATAAGTCATCCGCACATATCCTTTCGTAAGTGTTAATCATTCTTTTGCAAGCATGAAGGCTAATTTGAGGTGTACTTAATTTGCGTAGTGGGGGGGCATCCTCATCGTTCTGTCCCCGGAATACTCCCATGCGATGTACTTGGACTCATCGAAGAACCTCGGGAAAAAGGATTACAAGCACATAAAGAGTGTTCTCGATAGTGCCCTGTTAACCTTCAGCCTGTCTGGTGGATATATCAAGGTGAAAAAGTACAGGAATCGTGGGCTGGCTTTCGGTCATAAGACCGACTACTGTTACATCCAGCAACCGCACACTAGTATGGCTGATGGATTCTACCTCATGCATCACCTACTCGAGTACAGAAAGGATAATCAACGCCTTCGCATGCCACCTACTACCAACGATGCCGAGATTGTCAGCTGGGCCACAAGCATAGGAAGGACACCGGATCATCGAATCAGAGCTGAGTTTTATCACGTACAGTGTGAACTTGCCCAAGTGATCATGAAGCAGGTCCTCGAACCAACAGGGATGTTCTACCATGGGCCAATCATGCGGGAAGATGTCCGAGCACTGCTACTCGATCAGCGTCTGTACCTTAAGCCTTTCAAGAAGCTCGGGTGCTTCCTCCCTGACTATGAAGATTGGACCGCCGACATGGAGGACTGATTGTTGATGACAATGTGTCACTACTGTCTTTCTATGGCAAAACTTTGAATTTATGCACGGCGAAACTATGTGATGTAACTCAACCGTGGTCCTGAACTAGCATAGATCGCTCTAGTTAATTAGTTTGGGTATGAGGAACTTTGTCATTTATGTTTACTATTGGTTGCTTGTATTTTGCTAATTATGCCGCCTTGTTTTCTTAAGTACATTATGTTGCATATTATCGTTCAATTCATCAACTCACAATGTAGGTACATAGATCAGAGATGACGAAGGGCTACTATGCCGTGTACGTTGGGAGGGTTTCAGGAGTCTACAACCACTGCCAGCCGCTCAGGCCTAGGTGCACAGGTACCCGGGTGCTAGCCACAGAGGGTTCGACAGCAGAGCGGAAGCGGATAGTAGTTACTTGAGGTGGACACTCCAGCATGAGCAGGGGCGGGAACGCCGGTACTACATAGTCGCGCTCTTGCTCATGCCGATCGCTCTTCTCTTCTACATCATGGTTTAGATAGAGATGATGAAACTTGTGTGTGTGCCACGACCATGCAGTTGCACTTATTCAAGACATGACATGATCGCACTTGTGTATCGCTATTTTCAAGATTTGATGATATTTGTGTTGAATGATGATGATGGTATGATGAGACTACTGTATGTCTTTGATATGATGAGTATAGTGTATGTTTAGTATGATCTGATGAAACTATTATACAGAGCCTGTATAAATACACCATAAATACGTAGGGGGTGAGGGTCGGCGAAAGCAGGAATATTAGCAGTAGCGCTGGAGAGCACCTAGCAGTAGCGCTGGCTTAGCAGCAGCACTTCACATGAAAAAGCGCTACAGATAGTTATCAGTAGCGCTGGTCCAGGAAGCGCTACTGCTAACAATACTTAGTAGTAGCACTGCCTATATCAGCGCTACTGCTACAACTTAGCTGTAGCGCGCTAGCAGTAGCGCTGGACCCAGTGCTACTGCTATGCATATTTCAAGCGCTACTACTAGGGTTTTCTGCAGTAGTGGATGCAAAAAAAGCTTCAATCAGCGATGGCTGGAGGCGGGAGAAGATGACAAACACTGCAGTTTTGCTACATGCTTCAACCGGCATAGATTTTGCTACAACTGGCATGGCCTTTTACTACGACCGATGTCACGTTTTGCTACAACACATAGCTGGCGTTGCGTTTTGCTACAACTAGCATCACTTTTTGCTACAACCGGCATAACGTTTGACATCCATCACGGCTGAGCTGCGAGGCTTGACGGCGACAATGACATTTTTGTTGCATTCGTCGTAGTTTTTTGCTATGTCAGGCAACAACTTTTGTTACATCCGTTCATTCTAGATGCAAATGTTGCTACCTGCAACGACGAGCTATAACTAGCGGCGACGGTGACGTTTTTTTGCTGCAACCCTGTCTTCATTTTTGCTACGACCGGCAACAAAAAATACTGCAACGGGCAGTTCTATTTGCTGGAACCAATCAATCGCCGGCGAGGCGGAGCTGCATCCATGGCGTGCGCGGGCGGCGAGTGCGGGATCCATCCATGGCAAGCGCGGGGCGGCGAAATTGCATCCATGGCAAGCACGGGCGGCGGAGGTGCATCCAGGGGATGTGAAACACATTGAGATGCAAAGGCAGAGCTCCATCTCGCAAGTAAGGGTCAGATCTAACCGCACTTAATCTTGGTATCGACCGGCTGAGACTCGACAGGCCGAACAGTTCGGCTTTTCGGAACCCTTGGTGTTATCAGAGGTTCGGATCATGCTACAAGATCTGAAAGAGCTTTTTTTTTTTACTAAAGTTACTAAGAAGGTCGGAACAGTGATTTTGTCCCCAAAATTGCATCGCCGGGCGGCCGGGCCTGACCAGGTGGAATGCAGGTACACCTCTAGGACAACCGCGGCCGCCGCTTCGAGCAGGAGGTCGGCGTGAAGGAGGAGCGCGGCAAGCGGGAGTTTGGCATCTTCTGTCCTCTGCCCCGTCGCACCACCGTGGTTGCGCCGCCCACGTCCAGACGACGGCCCTCTCCTGCCGCTAGATGCCTCCGCTGAGACGACGCTGCCAGAGGCAGCGACCAGCAGCCTCACCGGTGCCCTCGCGCGCGAGCGGACAGGCGCCGGAAGAACTTGGTTCCAGCGATGCTGCAGATCGCACTCGCGTTGCTGCTCTACATCGGCCTCGACCTCCCCGAGGCCGTCGCCGCCGTTTCTGTTAAGACTGTATGTGAAGTGCAGAGTACATTGCTGAACTGAACACCTAAATTTCTGAAGATTCTGAAGTTTTTGGTACTTGCATGTTCGTTCAGTGTGCGCGGAGGTGGTTTGACGAGCGGGAGACAAGTCACCTGGCCAACTGGGCAAGCACGGCCGGGCACGGCAACACTGAGGAGCTCCCGACGATTCATTTCAGCTGTCCAAGTATTACGGGGTAGAGCTGGAAATACGGGAGCGGTGTGGGTTTTTCTTGCGGGAAAAGGGACTTGGGCGTGGAAATCGATGCGGCCATTGGATGAAGAACAACAACATGCGGTAGGGAGCATGGAGAGGGAGCAGCCATGCCGCGTCCTCTTGGCATCGCTCATCCCCTCCGTCAAGACGCGTCAATCTGGCGACCTCGACCCCCCATGGCTGTGTACTACAGCCAACTCTGGCTGGCCAACTTCCGATGCGCCCCAGGTGTTCGTGGTAATGCTCTAATCACGCGGCGCCTCGTCAATTGATCAACAAAATTCCGTCTGTAGCTCCGGCTCTGCAGCGTGCTTCGGTGGAGCAATGTGCCAATAAAAATAGGAACCTGTGGCCTGCGCCTTAGGCTGTGGTGCCGAACCTTGTTTGCTGCCTTTAGCGTCTCCTTCCTCCCTGTCATAGATTTGCACTGGAACCGCAGTGCGTTCCTCGATTTCGTGGCGCCAAGCTTCATCACGCTGATGAGGTACACACTTCCTTTTTTTCCTAACGACAAATATACACGCTTCCGTTCTCTCAACTGATATGATACGTTCTTGTGGTACTTGACTAGTTGATATGAATTATTAATAACTGGACAATCAAAATCCAGGGCTATCCCCCTGTGTACTTGCCGCTACGTTGTAATTATTTTCTGTAATTCTCGTTAACATGCCACTGTATGCACATTTGATTCTTAGACTTTGTCTTGTCCAGAGTGTATGGAACTATCATATGAATGCTTTATTTCAGAAGATCCTTTGGAGCAAAAAGGGTGGGAATGTAAATGTAATATAATATTTTGGTAGGCCATATATATATTTCCACATGAATGGTAAGAATACAGATGATACAACTGACGCTTCTTTCTTTGGTGGTTGTTGATGAATCTCTTCAAAAATTACTATTTACTTTTCTCCTAAGTCACATTCTTACATGGTGAACAAGATAATAATGTCCAAGTATCTATTATACTCCAGCCGCTCGTCCTAACCTTTCCCTTAAGATCTTCACTCCCATGTATCTGCACGTCAAACACGGGAAAGAAAGATCAAACCCTGGAGTTGAAATGAATTTACCAAAATGCAAACTATATTATATTTCTGTGTTGTACCTGCCCATCATCATGACTGTGGCTTGTGGGTTTGTTCCTGGCGACCTGGATAGGGTTGATCCGTCAATCACCCGGAGGCCTGAGGTCCCAATCACTTTGTACTGCTGGTCAACCACCTTGCCTACATGACATCCACCATGGTAATGCCAGATGGTGACCACTGTATCCCTGCAAAACTGCTCCAAGGATGTGCTGTCATTTGTATGCTTCGGTATCAGATTTATGTTAGCTGCTACACTCATGTTGAGCAGTTTTTCCATTGAATATCCACCATCTTTGGGAGTGAAGTTTGAGAAAGTGTTCGTACTAATTATTTTCTCTATGGTCTTGATCCCGTAAACACATCGTCTCAGATCCTGTGGATGTTTGAAGTAGTTGAAGGTGACGATAGGATTGCTGTTGGGATCAGTGTCCACAAGAACTAGATTGCCAGTAGACAGCGGGCCATCAATCTTCGAAAGAATGAACCCTCCGTGGAATACTTCTTTGGGCAGGCTCTTTTTGTTACGTACATACTTATGGACTGCTTCTAAACTTCTTTCCTTTGGAGGAATAGTCGACAACTGCCCAATCTGCATTAGAATGCCAAAAGGTCATAAGCATGAAAACTGTCATGGTTCTAAAAAGGGAAGTGGACATATGCTTAAGTTTTTCTAAGACACTTCATTCCGATTGTACAATTGAACTGTTAACAATAACTTTGAAAGATAACTCTAGTTTATAACATTGATGATGGTGTGATACGGATAGGAATGTAGGTAGTTGCAAATGAGTGTAGCAGCTGCATAATTTGATTCTTACCTACATGTTAGTATATATTTCTGATTTGTCTATATGCTTATCTTGGGTACCTGCAAACTAAAGCTTAACAGATAAAGTTTGGGAAGTTGGCTCCAAAAAGCCCATTTTAGGGTGCATATTTCTTTAGATTACTTGTGCAAGATGCATTGTTTTGCGCAAAAGCTTTTGTGATGCACCATGATACTTTTGTAAACTGAAATGCGCTACCATCATACTTTCGTGAACTGAAATGCACCATGATACTTGCAAACTGTAATGAAGTCCTTGAATTTTATTTCAGGTAACAATCATGATTGATGACAAACCTCAGCAGACATGATTCCATGGTGGCAGTGGATGCTGTCCCCTGTCTGGCCGAAACCGCTGCTGGCTTCGATAAACACACCATCATCAGTTATTCCAACAGTCTCAATAAGAGACTGCTTTGGGGGATCCTTGGTGGGTATAAATACGGAGCTCAATGGGTTGTCTGACATCCCTTTACCCACGTGCTCGTTGTGAAGAACTATAGAAATGTTATGCTTCTTAAGTTCACTCCTTGGTCCAATGCCGCTGATCAGTAACAGCTGGGGGCTTCCAATTGCGCCGGCAGAGACAATAATCTCACTGCCTCTCTTTTGGCTGAGAAAGGCTTGATGGTGCCCACCATTCTCATCCTTGAATTGAACCCCAATAGCACTCTGTTTCTGATGTCCTGTGCAAGAGATGAGGTTACTATAACAAAATGATTGTGCAGCAAGTACCTACTGTTTTTGTTTGAAGTATGTGTTTTCCTAGCTTCCTTCTTGTGGAAGTGGATACAGATTATGGAGGAAATTGTATGTCCGGTGCAAAATTATTGACCAAAACCAACTACATTCAGCCAGAAGCAAAATTATTGACAAACACAGTCATTATATTAAAGGCGCATATGCTCATCAAGCTTTATAAGTGGACGCCGTGGACTCGTCGGTTTGAATCCTCAAAACACCATTTCCTGTTCAGTTTCCTTTTCTACAAATAAGTTAAATTTGTCCTAAATTTTGTGAAACAATTTCCTGAAATCTCCAGTTACCAGATTTCTCACTGGGTGCTTTGTTCTTTTCTACCATGGAACTTTTTTGTGATTATAAGAGCTACTACTTGGATTATTATCGCTTACCATGTCTCGTTTTGAAAATTACTTTGTTCACACTAGCATGAAGCAGCACTCTGAGGTTGTCAGGATTTGCAGCAGCTAGGAGGTCAGCAGCAGTGTGCCGGTACCCTGCCTCATCAAAGATGGTTCCCCCAACTTTGGTTCCAAAGAGATGGTCATAGGTATATCCATTGTAAGGCGATACCCCTGCTTCAAGCAGCCCATCACGTAGGGCAGCTTGCCAAGGTGCAATCTTTGGCCAATAAACAATCCTCTCTTCGACCCAGGGGTAGGACTGATTCACCAACTCTTCATCCCATCCTGCATCCTTCACAAATCTGCATGGACAAGCGCATGATAATTGGTTACAAACTTATAAGGCCTTACAAATACTAATGTTTGACATGATAGGTTCGGTCCAATAGACACAGTTGCTCGTCTTGTTAAAACCAGATTTTATGCTATCTTATAGTTATAGCTGCCCGTATGCTTATGCGAGCAATTTTCTTCTTATATTCTTAAGGTTTCTGTAATAACTGGCATATATTTTTCTAGTTTGACACTGCAGATGTTTCAAAAAACTCAGATACTGCAATGGTTATTGAATTCTGCCACGACATTCTAAGCCTTTCAGGACTTACGGCAAACCTTAGTGGAATCTGGCTATTTGGTTATTCATCATTCTATGTTACCAAATCAAACAAAAATGTATTAGTGATCTTTTGCAATTTTTCTTCGATGCTCATTTTCAGTACTTCACCACTCCATAGTATGCGTTGGTGTTCAGCTATATAAACTCCAATAAGAAAGTCAGATAGCCTTACTGGCTTTCCTCCAAATCTAATTACTCCTCTGCTAGCTATAATGTTGTTGAGCAACCATTAATGCGTCTGATATCTGTCCTGCAACTGCAAAATCAATTCTACCACTATGATATTCAACTAGAAGCTATAAAAAATCCATGTGAAAAAACATGTGACAAATCTCCAGTTAAAGCGTGAGGTATTTCAAGACCAGGTACAGTTATGGGGCTGAAAAGGTTTTGTATCACTAACTTTTATGGCTACCTCTAAGATCGTTGGCTTCTCCCATCAGCCATTTTGTTGACTCTTTAGTGTTGAGACTGGTCTGATCTTTGCTTAAGACAGAAGATATGAAACACCGCTTTGTGAATGTGACATATTAACACACCTACAGCGGGGCTTCAGATTGAATAGCTGTGAAATATCCTGGTATATCTGACCAACCATGCTGAACCACTTAATTCTTCTTGTGATAGTAAGATCAAACAGGATTAGTCCCATCTTTTGATATCGATGTTTCCTATTCAGGTTATTAAATAACTACTTATTTTAACTTTCGCTTAAGTTTATTTGCACAGTAAATGGATCTTAAGTTAGGTTAGATAGCTGAAAACATGACACATTGTGTACCTTCGGTTGGCTCGGCTGTAGAAGCCGGCATTTATACATGTTCCACCACCTAGAACCTTTGCTCGGGAATTGATGACACCATCAGTGGAGATGAATCCCTGAGATGGGGAATTCTTCGATTCATCGGTCAAGCAAATGTGGAAGTTCTCAAGGTATGAGATGTTGCGGTTGCCATATGGAGATCCACCTCTCTCAAGCAACAGCACCTTGTACTTTTTCGACAGCGTTGCTGCCAATGGGCATCCGGCCGTGCCCCCGCCGACAATGATGTAGTCATATGCTTCATGCTGGATTTTGGAGAAACTGCTTGCCTTCCAGAGGGGAGGGAGATCCGGTGTGGCGGAGTTTCTTCCTGCAAGTTTAAGTGTTTGATATTATTGCCTGGAGCTGCTTGGTTTCAGGTTAATACTATTTCAGTCAGTTTTCTTCTTCTATCTTGATATATATGAGGATGTCTCAACCTGGTTATGCTAAACTCTTCCTCTTTTTCATCAGGTTTCTTTTGGTTATAAATAATTCTACAGGTTGCGAAAAGAAGGTACATCTTTTCCAGATTCCACACCTTGTTTTTCCAGCCTTTTACTTGGAAATGACGCTTTCTTATGTAGCATTACATGCCAAGCATTCTTACAACGACAGAGTGCCACTTCAGGACTAAGTAAACAATATCAAAATCATAATGTAGGATAATTAGAAATAGATGGCAAGTTGCCTTTGTTATCAACGTATGTAGCCAAAATGTCTAAATAAAGGCCCATGTTCCTAAGCCAGTTCAAAATCTCTGGATAATAGCCATGGTGGGTATAACAAGCTGATCGGCAGAAACAAAGAAAGCAAACATCGCTGGATCAAAGTCCAACTCTGAACCATTGAGCTTTTTTCTAGGGGAGACGACTCACCGTGCAGTTTTGAGAAGCATAGATAAGCTCAAGCAGATGGAATGTACCTTGAGATAATCTGATGAAGCAGAGGAACGCCAAGATCTTGAAGAACACCCCTCCGCTGATCAAACCCATTGAAACCAAAGAGCTCCCCTTGTTTTGTTCTCTTTTGCCCTTTCTTTTTCACCTCTGACTCTGCGTACTTGCCTTTTGTCTGGTGCTCTCTGATTTCTCCACCTCGCAACCTTGCCCAATGCATTTCACTCGTTTATGTAGACAGTAGCAGCACCGTGGAATTGAGAGAGCTATTGTGTACATTCACTCAAGGGCGCTCACCCACACCATTAATTGCCATTCAATGCAGTGCAGCACTGTCCAGTAGTACTACAAGTCAGATTTATGGACTTCCTCATCAGCCAACCAACCACAACGAAACTGCTGTGAATATTTTACCCACCGCCCTGATTTACATGCATCTCTCTCTCTCGCTTCTTTCAAACTCAGTGACATTTTTATTTCATTTTCGGTGACTATAGGCAGATTTTGAAGAATGTCCACTTTTCAGACCTGAGCTATTGTAGAAGTTCAATTTTCAACCTTGAACTCTGAAACTGGTTGGTTGTTTTCAACTTTGATCTCTTGAAAAAGTTCACTTAACCCCCTTGGCCCTATCGCAGATGATTTTGTGTTAACAGGGACAACTCGTGACATGAACGAGCATCAATTTTACATGCCAGCACTGCGATGCTAGCAGCCTAATTAAAACTTCTACAAAAATCGAGAATTCAGGAACCTGGCTTGGCTGGAAAGAGAAGGGAAAGGGATAGGTAGACAAGTACTGTACAGTTTAGCGATTAGAAGAGAGCGCATACTTTTTTCCTAATTTAAATGAGTAAAATTCACAAAATTACAAGTTTAATGTACAAACTATCACATCTGACTAAGTTTAAGCAACATATTATCGCATCTGTAGTTTTGGTCTTATAGTTTTGTGAAATTGATTCTTAAATAGATAGTTTTGTGATATATTTAATCCTAATTAGGTTACCTTGTTTCTTAAAATGTACTGTAGTTCTGTGAGAGACTTCTTTAGGAAAAATTCTGTGATATACTTGCTCCCTAGATCTGTAGTTTTGTGAGATTGATCCTCAAATCCGTACTTCTGGGATAGGTTTTCACATTATTTTTTCGACAAACAGACAGGGGCACCCCTTTCAATTAGAAGACATGCAATTTTATGAAATTTACTCAATTTAAATACACAGGTAGGTTGCTTTATGTATAAAGCGGGGCGAAAGCCTATTTTGATTATGTGTATCTTTATAGTCTGAGTAGGCCATTGACCATTTTGAATAAAACTGAACATTGTAGACAATTTCTGATACAGTTAAGAGTCCTCGTTCACCTAGACTTTATTCTTAATAAACCAGCCCCCTTCAGCCGAATCCTGTTCCAAGAAGACTAGATTTCTTTCTTGTTTTTTTAGGGTAAGAAGACTATATTTCTTAATTCTATTCTGTCCTCCCGTCTGCCCAGAGGTGTTGCTTTCAAGAAAGAGAAGGGCTGAGGAGGGTGTAGAAAATACGCTGTTTAAGATGACAAACCACTATCTAGCCTGATATTGACAAGATAGATAATACTCTATATACCGCCTTTAGTTCAGAAGATGGTTTTGTAACACCAGTGTGTCTGTCATTGAGTGGTCTCGCTCAGTTGGTTAGCAAGTTTGAGGTTAGCATCATCGTACTCTAGATTACATAGGAATTGTCAGTGATAAGTATGGACGGTACTCTAGATTACATAGGAATTGTCAGTGATAGGTATGGATGTCTAGTACTATCCAGTCGGTAGGTATATACCAACTACTAACTATAACAATTTAGTTACTTCACAATTAACCAATAAATATTTACTACCTAAAGAAAAAACAGAAAAAAAATGGTGAACAAAATCTCAGCTCGGTTGTTGCTTGCCGAGTCCTTATTGTCCGGCTCGTCAATGGCAAGTCTCTGCCGAGTTCGAACTGTTACCGAGATCTGTACTCAGCTTACATAGTCATTACCGAGAGCCTGTGTTCGGGAACTCGGCGAAACGGTAAGCACTCGGCACAGAGGGATTTTCCAGTAGTGTATGGACATGTCGATTACATAGGCATTTCGACAACGCCCGACTCACTTTAGCCGACCTCCTTGACAATATCCAGTGGGAAGTTAGGCTAGGGGCAATGGCGGGTGCGAGGGCTGGGGTCGCTACCAGTTGAGGCGGTGCCTATTAGTAGCGTCCTATTGTAATTCTGGGTGTCTTTCATCTTTGAGTTTGTACAAACTCTTCTTTCTATCAATGCATCGAGACGCAAGGCTCTGCATTTTCTCGAAAGAACAAAAAGGCATGGACGTCTAGTACTGGTCGGAATTCTTGATGTCAACTTGACAGTACAATGTACTAAAAGAAAGAACTGTAATTGGACGTCCAAATCATCTTTGAAACAATGTTGAGCAATCAAGGTACAGCATTTATGCCCATCACATCAGCTACCAAAATGGTATAATGGATACGCTGCAACAAGTTGACAACTGAAATGTTAGGAATAATCCCAAGCATTGCATGTAATCTACCTCATGTGTAAACACTTGTTCGTGTTGTTTTCATTTCACCCTTTTCAGCCATGATGATGTGCCAGGGTCTTGGGTGAAGACCCTTCTCCGCCTCGGACTTGGCAGCAGCGACGCTTAGCGCCGTTTACCTCCTGAGGGCGTTGTCATGGAGTTTAGGTGTCCTAGGGCGTGTCGTGGTGATGTTTTTAGGCCTACCTATGTGTTCTTTTCTCAGAAACGGAGGCGTTTGCGTTTATGTTGTCCGGCTATCCTGGATTCTGCTTTGCAAAGGGCTTCGTCATTACCTTATATAGTTCGGCCGTGTATTTTGGTTTGTGCAAGCGGGGAAAGAGTATATGCTTCGAGAAAATGATGATCCATGTGTAATTCTTAAAAATTGTCTGCACACCAAGAATGGCGTCGCCTCCTTTTAAGGCTCTGTTGTTGGACAGGGACCTCCTGAGAGCCAATGATATCTGCTCGGTAAGATCGAAACTCAGTCCTGCCAGGAAACTATCATGAACTACGTACTTACCAATGATGATTATTCTGTTCGTAGTGCAATGGTCCGTAAACTTGCCTCCAGCACGCACAATAAAACCCAGCGGTATTGCAACGCAAATCCTTAAATGAGAAGGGAGAAGGCCACATGGTGCGGGCCTCTGGGAACAGTATACCATGACTGCATGAGAGTGGTTCTGAAGTGTTTTAATAGTAGAATTGTTTCTTGCTAGCTGATCTCAAGTGTTTAAGTTGGAAACTCGAAACAGAGACTATGAAACAAAATTAATTACATTGCAGCTGTTTTATACTATGTGAAATCTGTCTGATCATATGATTAACAAGTTTAGTGTCAACTAAAACACATTGATGATAGAATGATACTAGTATCTTTTGTTGTCTTTCAGATAACTACTATGATAAACTAAGAAAATGTACGCCTGAATGCAAGAGCTCAGAGCGAACCTAGATGGCATAGGTGCACTTATTACATGTACATGGAGCGCCAACTGGCAACATGTTTGAGTGGTCACAGCAAAGGACTTGTGTGGCACCTGCAAATTGAGCACATGATGGCTGTCTTGTCTTGCTAGGTTGTCCGTCATTGAAGAAAGCAATTCGGTTATGAGATGATCACCCAGAAACCAGTGAACTGGACTGTGCACCAGAGCTGATGGAAGCGTCTTAAAATCCTCTACGAATGCTTGTGTGTTTTTTCTTTTTCTTTAGATGACAAATGCTTGTGTTAATACGGTGGTGGTATCAGTGAGCTAAGCACCGAACAGACAACATGAGAGGACAGAAATAGTGAAATAATCGATGTGGTTGAGCTGGGCCTGCTGACGTTCATTTATGGTAGCAACTCGCCAGCAAATCATTTAGGCCACACAGTGGATTTTGAGATCATACTGGTGGTTATGTGGCCGGAGATCTGATTCATGGGTTTCTCACAACAGTGGGCTCTTCTGTAGCCCTATAGTTTCGTTGGGCGTTTTATGTGGCCTCATCAACCGAATTACTGGAGCAACGACTCACTGAATATCTTGTTTTTCTGGAGGTGTGTAGGACAATTAGGGTTTCGGTCCTGTCCTTCTGCCTTATCGGCGATGCCACTCACAATACATATTGTAGTTAGAGGGTGGGACCTACTTATACCGTCAATTCTAGAGCTTGAGTCTTTATGCACACAAGTTTCCAAGTTGTTTAAACTTGTATTCCAAACAGAGATAAGTTTAACAATGACAATATAATTCATCTATAATTAGACAATGTTTATTTGTTACTTTGTGTCATATACATAAACGGCTCATTCGGCGTAACTAAATATACAATTTAAGTATGTAGGTTAATTTTTGGTAGGGGTATTATCTGACAATCAATCTAGTTAAGTGTACTTCCTCCGTCTCATAATATAAGATGTTATTATACTTCCTCCGTCCCATAATTACATAATATACAATTTAAGTATGTAGGTTAATTTCCGATAAGGGTGTAGGGTCGTTTATTATAGTCTAACAGAGGGTGAATAGACTACTAGTCAAAGGGACTCTTTTTCCCAATTTTAATTATCATGGCAATTTTAAGCTTTTTAGGTGGTAGCCTAAGAACACTCTACACATTCAAATCTACTAGAGTATAGCAATGGAAGACAAACACTTGGACAAGTAAAAGTAAAGATAAAGGCTAGAGGAATGTAAACACGAGGAGACTCGAGAAGATGTTTCCCGTGGTTCGAATAGTTGGTGTTATCCTACTCCATATTGACGCAGGCTTTGCGCCACGAAGGTTGTAGCACCATGGAGATCCCGATTGCGAGACCTACGAGGGATTGAGCTCATGAAGTGTCCACGAAGCAGCAATCAATCTATCCCATCATGGCATACGGCCATGAAAATTTAGCCTGACTCAGGGTATATTTTCATGAAGTAGGCGATCGCCAAGCCCGTACAAACTTCTTGATTTCTTCACACATGGAAAGACTCCCAAAATACCTAGACGATCTAGGAGGCACACACCCTCCAAAAGTACCAATATTGAGGTTGTTTGATGATGAACCCTTTATTTTTGTGCTTCAAAAGATAATCTGCTCCACATTCAAAACTCTCTCAACCATATGATTTTGGATTGGAGAGGAGTGCAAAGCGAGGGGATTAGAGATCAAAGG